GAAATGAGGCTGTGATTGTAACATTATGTTTGTCTAAACCAGAATTTTTTTGGGCTATTTTAATTGTATCAGCATTGCTAAGCAAGTCTAATAGAAGTACCAAAGCAGGGTGCATCGATCTTGTAATGATCTGAGATAGAAATCGTTCAAGTGTCTCTGAAAGGATAGGGTTAAAGAATATATCTTTGACAGTTTTTTTACAACTTGTTTGTTTCATTTACGTACAATAAAAAAACTGCTGTCTTATCATTTTGTTGTTGCTGGTCATACTTATCCATAGTAATAGTCTTTAAAACTGTTCCTAGCATTAAATTTGTAAATCTAATATTATACATTCATTTACAAAATATTCGTATTGCATATCTGAATTTTCTTCTACAAAATAGCAATACAGAATCTGTAAACAAAGTGCAATTTCCTCTTCAAGCTTAATATTATTATCAGATGCTGCCGATCTATTATCAAAAGTTATTACCACTGCCATTATATTGCAAAAATCTCCTGCATCCGATTATCTGCATCATTGATTGCCCTCTCCTGAACGAGATTCTTTAATTCCTCAAGAGTCTAGTTTTTCCTGTTCTAGAACCTTCAGCGGTAAAAGGTATAGAATGCATATTTCTATCGAAAAAGCCATTCAAATAATTAAAACACTGCTCTCGTATACCATTATTACTAATTTCATCTCTATGCTAAAGAACATTTAATGCATTTTCACGACCAAGAAATTGAAATCACGCTCTAAAAGAACTTATAAGCTATCAACCAATAAAGCAATTTACATTATTAAGAAATTAATAGCACGAATACGTTTGATTACAATATCAAACATACTGGTGATAGTGAAACATCAGGATGGCATTTATAAGGAGATTTCCACTGCAAGATGCTATCAGAGAAGTTCCAATCTGGTTATTGAAAAGCATTCTCTGATGTTAAACGATACATAAATTTAAGTTAATGTAATATATATATTATGCAATCAAATAATTTTAGTAAGTTATCTTCATCTTTTATTTCATGAAAATATTGAATAAATTAATATAATAAACAATCTTTTCAGATGAACGAATAATATTAAAATGAAAGTATAGTAATCAAAACATACCTAATGAAAGATAAGAGTAGGAAAAATAAATAAATGCATAATGAATTAAAATATTCAAGAGGATAATGTAAAAAATATACCTTTATATGGAAATGGATAGGCAAAATAGATAAAAGAAATTTTGTTACGTTCAGGTCAAATAAAATATCATCATGAAAATGAAAGTACAAGATAAAGTTGTAAATAGTATACAAAATGGAAAATAATTTTTTATACAATCAGGTAAAAAAATCATGAGATTAAGTATTCAATATTAGTAAATTACACAAGCGCAGACGAGGATGAAGCAACAGCAAATGATTAAAAGGTATAATAATAAATAAAGTAAAAAAAGTTAGTTATTGCAAATATTTACTATAAACAATAAATAAACGAAAAGGAACGACAAAGAAAATAATTTTTTGTATCTTTATTATTATTCATTACCTTTTTTTTGTTTACTATCTTCAACATTTTATTTTTATAAATATATCAACTGGTCTTCCCATTTTGCAATTGTTGCTTTCAACGTCATCTTCTCTTCAATTAAGAAATCCCTTTCTGCATAACTTTCCTCACCACTTCTTCTTGTTCTTCCTTATATTGCCTCATTTTCTACAGCCTTCTTAAACCTCTCCTTTGCAAAGTTTAATTTATCGATTCTTTTGAACGTTGTCATTGTCAAATTAAATGAATCAAACAAGATTTTTTTTTATTTTGCAAATAAGATTTCACCCTTTAATAAAGGGCGTCCTTAACCTAGAGGGGGTCATAGGAAGACTTTCATGTGATTGGCTAATAAGATTACATGAATTTTATAGTTGATATTGTAATTATTTATATATGACACGTGATATTATTATACATAATATTAAACTGTACAAACTATATAAACTATATTTAAAAGTTAAAATTTAATTTTAAACTTAAGTTTAAAGTTTATGTATTATTGAATATAAGTTATATTAAAGTTTCTGATATTAATTTAAAATTAATATACTTATAAATTCTGAAAAAAATTAAACTGTGCTGTAACATACTATAACTACGCTGTTTAATGATCATTTTGAAGAATCTAATTTCGTTTTAATATTAAAATAATTAAAATAAAAATAGTTTTTAGTTTAACAATTTATTTTTATAATATTTATAATTAACAATTTTGTATAATTTTAATTTTTTAGACTAATTAGACTAATGTAAAATCAGAAAATTATTGAGTTAAATAAAGCCAGATTACTGATTAACTAAAATCCAAATTCTTATTATTATTTATAAATATTATTATGATTGAAAATTTTTGCAATGCTTCTTTCAATGTAAATGTCATACATCCTATGGGTTTATTTTCATCGTTGTTATCACAAAGAATATTATTATCATCCTTTTCAACTTTTATTTCGTCAAATTGTTGCAATCGTGTTAGCAGGAACTGAACATTTTCATCAACACCATCTTATAAAAATGAGAGGCAATATGAACACTTGAATCCATTATTATCATAACAAACTTTATGATATGTATGGTCGCAAGATAAAATTACAATCAGACCTGTATGAATAGATAAAGAAATAGAACAATTAGTAGTATTACAATAATAAAATGTATTTGGCTTATGCAAAGTACTGAAACCTAAAGGAAGATGACATAAATTTGCTTTCGGTATTTTCATTGCGGCTAAAATTACAATATCATTATTAGATTTCTTTTTCTTTTTTAAAGATAAATTCATAGTAACAGTCTGTAATGGAAATATTAAAGATATTTTATCATTAAAAAAGCATACATAAATATCTGAAAACATTGTAACAAAAGCATGCACTCTTTTTTGTTAAAATTGTAATATCTTATGCAGAATATTCATATGCTGCCCATGTTGATATGTGTGCAAAGTTCTCTTTGAAACTATTATCATCTAAGCGTAATTAGTTAATGTAACGCTCATATTTGATAATCTGTTGCATTTCTATATGTTTTTATGTATCTTTACGAAAGAAACTATGAAAAATTTTAACAGTTGCATCTGAAATTTTGGAAGTTCAGCTTTAATGACCTCTAGGATTGGATGATTATTTGACTCCCAATAAAAAATATCAGACAAAAATATTAATGGTACTTTATTATAATTTTTACGTTAAAATCTAAGAAATATTATTCAAACTCGAAAACAAGATTCCAAATAAGCATTAAAATCACCAGACTGAAAAAAGATAGCATAAACATCTAGGATCAAAGGAATTATATTATCAAGAAGATCCTTCAACGTGAGGTATTCGGCATCTTTGCATAAGAATCCAAATTTTTTTTCAACTACTTTAGAAATTTCCTGCCAAGCATTACGAGAAAGCTCTAAAAGTAGATTAATACGTTATAGTTTAGGTTTTTGTGCAAGAGGCCTTCGTTCTTTAAATATATTCTTATACATGGCTGAAAAAAAGGGCTGGTATTAAAGGAATACTAATTCTCAGCTATTTAATGAAATATGTAAAGGACCTATAATAGG